CCCCAAAACCCCAAAACCCCAAAACCCCAAAACCCCAAAACCCCAAAACCCCATTTTAAAAATTAGTAATTGATAAATATTAAACCTCGATAAAATATGGAGCTTATTCAAGATCTTAACCAAGTAGATCCTGCTGGCCATGTTGTGGAGGATCCTGAGCTAATGAATTACCCTGCTACTGAAGACTACACATATGAAGAAGATTTCAAGCAAGAGTTAGGCAACGATATTGATTCTTCCTCCATCGAACAACTTCAAAAATCCAACCATGTTCAGTACAATTGCATCCAGAAATTAAAGAAAGACTGAGATTACTGGCAGAAGAAGTGACTCACATTAACACTTGATAACCAAGTAGTTGAGTTTGACTTAAAGAAAGCCAAGAAGGCCAAGATTGCATGCTCTAAAGAGAATAAATCTCTTAAGGAAACAACAAGCCAGCTTTTGAATTCAGCAAAAGAAGAGCAAAATAAAGAACTTGAGGGTATTTTGAAGTAATCATCCATATAGAACTGAGACAAGAGAATGAGAAATTAACAGCTAGACTGAAAGAAGCAGAGGCTAAAGTCTCTGTTCCTAGGGAAGAGCAGGAGATTATCAATGATTTCACTTCCATCCAGGACTTACCAACAATGATGAGAGTTTTACAAGCTTGACAAATGCAATTCAACCAAAAGCAATATGCTTTCATGCTTAACCAACAAAAGTCAGCAGGAATGGGCGATGGCTCAAACGGAGTAATGCCAACAGCAGATATGATGATGAATGGAGGCTATATGATGGCTCCTCAAATGATGAATCAAATGCAGTACAACATGGGTATGTTCCAAAGCCAGCCTGAGAACAATGGAAATGCTCCTGCCCAAAAATAACTCCAACACATAATTGAGTAAGATGGTCATATTCAGTCATTTGTCCTGTATTTTTCTAAATTGTGGCATAGTTCTAACTCAAATCCAATATTGTTCAGCTAACTAGGGGTTTTGGGGTTTTGGGGTTTTGGGGTTTTGGGGTTTTGGGG